AAGGGACTTAACTTTAACAGAAGCAAGAGGACATGGAAGTGCTGGCTAAAGCAAGAAAAAGGCAAAAGGAATGAAAGAGGGAAAGAGAAAACTGGGAAATGAAGGATGTGTTGTGATGGGGGGGGTGTGAAGGGCATCTCCACATTTGCAACATGATGTGAGCTATGGCTGGAGGCCTGGGAGAGCTCCTTGTTCCCCAGGCACTGCAATGAAGAGGTCCCCTTGAGTCCAGGTGAGTTTGAGGGGATGTTACTGCAGGGACTTGAATGTTCCTGGCTCTGCTTCAAGGTAGGGCTTGACATTTAAACTAATGAAGCTGAGACTGAAATCTATGTCCGAGCACAAGGCAGGGCGTGGTTAAGGAAGAGGGATTTTGCCTGCAGTGCAGAGGGAGCAGAGGTGCAAGAGAAAGCAAGCAGTGTCAGAGAGAGCAGCAGGAGAGAAGGGATGTGCTTGTGAGTACTGTGAGGTCTCAAACCTTCCCCAGTGCTGCTGCCCCTCCACTGTCATTCCTTCTTTCTTTCCATGATCCCATTGCTCAACAGTTTTCCTCTCCATCTGTCGTTCGCTCTCCTCTGTTGGACTGGTCTGCATGGTTTTTAAAGAGCTAATGGAATAGAATCACCAAGAGAAACTGGCTGATGTTGTCACTGTTCCTGCTGTCACACTGTGTGTCACTGTCACGGAAAGCAAAGGCCTTTAAACATTTCTGTTTGCAAGCACTGTATTGCACCATCACTTTCCTCGTTCCTCTGTCCCCCTAAAGCCCATGAGGTACCCAGGGAAAGGCCCCCTGTCCCACAAGGAGTACTGACCTTGAAGGCACTGTTACTCTGCTCTCAGGCCACTCCCATTGTTCTCCCCACCCCTTCTCTGGTTTCCTTTTATCTTGCTTTATTTTCCAGTCCTCATCGCCTCCTCTCCTCCCTTCCTCTGCCCTGCAGCACCTGCAAAGTGCGCAAAGCCTCGGTGCCTGTGTGCTGGATGGGGCTCCCCCATGACAGCCAAAACCCTTTTCTCCTGGTTGATTTGGGTTCTCCTTCCACCATGGCATCCGTGGCCTGTTCCCTGCTCCCTGTGCCACACACTGACCCAGCTGCGTGCTGCCTCAGGGAGCTGCTGCCACTGAGGTCCCTCCTCTCCCAAGGATCCAAGTGGCTGTCAGTCCCAAGAGGATTGCAGTTCCCAGCCCAGTTCCCACTGAGCTTTCTTAGGAGACCTCTGGGAATTTGGGAGTGGAAAAATGGGGAGCAGGGAGACATACTCATTCTGCTGAGAAACCTCAATGCCTCCAGAATTTGGAGAGTGAACATCTTGCCCAAGAGCTTTGTGGGAGGGAGCTGGGACACAGGCCCTGTAGATGCCCGTAATTATGTGCATTGGGATAAAACTGTCAGCTTGAACATCAGCCTGTCTAATAAAACCTGGTATTTTTCAAACACACTCCCTGGAGATGCTTGTTTTGTTTCTCTTCCTGCTGTGGGAGACAGCGCTGGGACTGAGGGGGTGCAGCTGCAGGGAGCAAGGCAGGAGCTCCCATCTCCTTCCCACCCCAGCTTTGGCCTCTGTCCCTTGCACAGGACCTGACAGCCATGCCTGAGTCATTTGGCTGCTTTTCCAAACTTCCTCCTTGTGCCTTAGGCACAACAGGCAGATCGAACCTCAACTCCTTTGCTTTGTGCCTCAGGGCAGTGTGATCCTCCCTGGTGATACAGATCCCAGCTGCCTCAGGAGATGCTGTCTGGGCACCTTCTGGCATGACAGAAGGCATGGGTCAGGGGACCATGGAGGAGAATCCAGGACTGGGGATCACAGCAGGGGGCAGAGGGTTGGAGATCGTGGAAGAAGGCAGAGATTTGAGGAGCATGGAGAAGCATAGAGGAGGAGCATGGAGGAGGACAGGGGGATTGGCATCCCAGTAGAGGGCAGTGGGTCAGGAACCATGGAGGAAAGTGAGGGGTTTGTCCTTCTCCATGGGGGAAGACAGTGGGTTGGGACTATGGAGGATAGAGGCTTGGGGACCATGGAGGAGGACAAAGGGGTTGGGGACCATGGAGGAGGGCAGGGATTTGGGGACCATGGAGGAGGGCAGGGGCTGGGGACCATGGAGGAAGACAAAGGGGTTGGGGACCACAGTGTGAAGCAGGGGCTCTCAGCAGCCACCCAGCGAGGGGTGGATGGAGGTACCCTCCCACTGGCGACTAGGGCTCATGCAAACCACTCATTATAACCCTATTCCCAGCCTGTCTGTCTGTCTTTCTTTCCAACTATCTGTCTCACTCGCTAATCAAAGAAGATTGTTCCAAGAAAGCTGGAAGAAGAGAAGGAATGTCTCATTTGGCTGTGGCTTCCTTTGGAAAGTCTGGAAAAACTGTGGCATCTTGACGTGCATGAAGGTCTGCCTGGCAAGAAGCACATTTTCTTTCCAAAGCTGCTGTAAAGATGTGAATCATGAGCCGGTAACGCTCCTGGCAGTGCGAACCCCAATTCCACTGAGACATGGTGCTGGCAGCAGCTCTGCTGTATCTCTTGGATGGAAAAGACAAACATTTATCATAGTGACATTGCTGGGGAAGAGCTGCCGGTGCTGCTGAGGGCCTGGCGGTGGCCGGCTCCTGCCAGTGCCCAGGGTGCTCCCACCAAGTTTTCCAAAAGTCTCCCAAAGTTCCTCAAACACCAGGGGGTTTACAGTCCCTTTTGGCTGTCCTCCACCACCTCAGCCCCTCAGTGGCATCTCTTGCAGGCATGAAAATATCCCGCATCTAATCATCAGAAAAAGAATAAAAACTTTTGGAAAGGTCTGCTGGGAGCCGGGGGGAGCCCTGGTGCTCTGCCTGCTGCACGGTGGAGGTTTTCTGCTGTTCCCATGCATCCAATGCTGGGGCCAACCTCCTTCCAAACCTTGCCCCCCAAGACTCCCTGTGCTGCAATCGCAAGACTCCAGTGGCTGTGACATGTTTATGAAGCCACTCACTCCCTGCCCAGGTAGTCCCAAAAATCTGCCCACCTGGTTGTCCACCACAGAGCTGGGGCTGGCACTCTCCCTGCTGGCAGCAGATCCTGACTGATTCAAGCTGCCATTTACAGCTCCTGGAGCAAACAAAACACCCCTTCCATGTAAGTCCCTCCTTTTTGTGTCTGTGGAACTTCATGCAGCCCCAAGATCACCCTGGCTTGCACAGACCCCAGCCTTCTGGCATCCCTCCCAAGACAGAGTCTAGGCTCAGGCTTTGAAAGAGTTTCAACATTAAGTGTGCATGTGCAGTGTGTGGATTCAGGACATGTCAGACAAACACCTCCCGCCTCAAACCAGAGCACTGCTGTCAGTTTGTGTCTGTGGAGAACCCCAAAATCAACACATTTTGCACAAGATGTGCAGGACACTAAACCAGGAAGGCAAATAAAGCTGTGTCCTGAAGAGTGTGCAGGAGCTTTGGGAGCGCTTCCCGCGGTTGACACCAATGGAATCACAGGTTGGAGAAGTCATCTAAGGTCATCAAATCCAGCTGTCACCACCAAACCATGTCCCCAAGTGCCACATCCACACATTTCCAAGGGAGGAGGATTTGCAGGCTCCAAAGGGGTTCAGACCCAGATGTCACGCATGTGACATTGGTGTTTCCTGGAGGTGACAGGGTGAAGGAAGGGAGCAAGCCTGCTTCTACAGCTGTCTGCCTTGGGAAAACGAATGTCCAAAAGGATTGTCTGCTTGAGGGAGATGGGAAAGGCCTGGATATTGGCCCCAAGGGATCACCACTTGCTTTAGTGCACCTATATCATATTCAGGGCAAGCATCAGAGGAGCCAGGGCAGCCTGGAGCCGTGGGAAGAGGATTTTCACTCCATGAGGTGTCCAGAAAATGTTACCCCTGAAAAAGGGGGGGTGGTGGGTGGTGGGCCAGGACCTGGGGGTACCTCTAAGCAGAGCAGAGGCTGGAGGGATGACAGGGTGCTCACACACTGCAGCCCAGGCAACAACTTGGTGCCACATCACAGTGAATTCCCAGCAGTTATTCTATGGATGCCCAGCACAGACTGGAGCATTCGGCTGCTCCTTCTCTAACACATTCATTAGTGGTGATTTAATTACAGGATGCAAAGACGAGCTACTCCAAAATACTCATGTACCTGTGCAAAACATGCAATGAGCAATTAATGCTGCTAACGAGAGAGGGAGTCACGGTATCCACAGCAGGAGATATCCATCAGCATCCCAGCAAACCTGCAATCCACCCTAACCCACATGGACTGCTCTGATCTGGAATTATCCCAATAGCATTTTGGGGCAGAGGGAGGGAAAATGGAATGTGGGTGAGATGGTGGCAAGTGGCCAATTCTTACCCACGGGAAAGACAAGAGGTGTCCAAACCCATCTGTATTCCCATCAAAGGCTGTTGGTGGGAATGTGAAGGGGGGGCTACTGCCACAACCACTTCACCTCTGGATCAGAATTCAGCAGCAGAGGGAAGGCCTTTGCTTCCTTGTGACTTTCCAGTGCCATTGGCCAGGGGATGGGAGTTGGTGGGGCTGAGCATGGAAACCAAACACTCCCAGGGCAGGGAATGTTGCTGGCTGCTTCCCGGTAGCAGATTAATTGTTGTTAATATTAAATTCAGCAGTTTTATGCAGGACACAGAAGTGCTTAGGCAAAAGCCCAGCTCCCATCCTACCTGTCATTAAAAAACATTGCAATTAAGCTCTCCTGGAAGGAAATACAAATAAACGCATCCTCTGTAAGTGGCTTCAGCTTTCCACAGACATCTGTGTCCCCCGTTTCCTCTTCGGCTGGCCGAGCTGCTTCTGTTTTCCCTCTTCCCATGACCCACACATTGCTTTTTCTCCTTAATCCTGCCCACAGCTCCCAAAGTCAAGGGCTGGAAAGGGGAGGAAAGGAGCCCCAGCTGCCTCTGACCCATTGCCACCGGTGGAAAGTTCGTGTCAGCTGCAGCTGCAGCCCCAGCCCTGGCCAAAATCAAGGCTGTGGTCTTGGTATCTGCTCACCTAGTTGGATCCTGATGCTCTCTTTGGTCCTCTCCATGGGCAGAAATCCAAATGCTTCTGCAAGAGGAAGGAGTGCTACTGTCCCAATAGAAAGCATTTAACAAATGATTTCCACTTTGCAGCAGATCTGGATGGGATTTTCAGCAGCTGAAACCTGCTCCTGCTTCAGTCACTGGTGACAGACTCAGCCAAATGCTCCAGGAGAGCCAGCCCAGCCTCCAACCCTGCAGGGCCCGGCACAGCCCGAGCTCTGCAGCAGAGCTGTGCTGACAAGCACAATCACATGACAAAGATGAACAGGCTGGGGGGTTATTGCATCCCAGGAAAGGGTTTTCCCATGGCATTGTCCCCCTGTTTTACTCCAGCTGTGGTTCTTCACAGGAAAAGGATGAGGCAGGATGTCAGAGGTGGGACATGGGGCAGATGGTGATGGGTCAGCCTGAGCCAGAGGACACTGAGAGGAACCGTGGTGGCAGGACTTGAAGGGACAACCTCTTCTGCCTTTCCCCAGTGACCTACAGGACTGTGATGCAGCCAGAAGCTGTGGTTAAAGTTCAGGGAATGCCAGGAGAGGCAGGTGGGAGTGACAGTCACATACAGCCATGACTGCCAGGTCATTGTGTGGCCAGAGTCCCCATCAGGTCTTTAAAGCCTGGGAAAAGGCAAAAAAAAAAAACAAGATAAGACTTGGGGCAAGGGAATTTGAGATAAAAAGGGGCAGCAAGATAAAAATAAACCTGGTGTCAAGGACAATACCAGTGCCAGGAAAACTACATTGACAATTTTGGACCTGGTGGGGGATCAAGATCATGTGAAAAGCATCCTGAGTGCCAAAGGTGGCTTTCCACAGCCACAGAGGATGCTGGCAGAATCACAAAGGGTCAGGATGGATGGGCAGGGCAGAGGGGCACCAGGTGTGCTAAACTTGGGTAGATCTGGGGCTCTGGCAGCAGCAGGGCCTGGTCAGCTGGAGGTGTGGGATGCAACGTGAGGATTGTGGGTGCTGAGTGGCCATGAGCGGTGCCAACAGTGCCCACACCAGACCGTGGCTCTGGCCACATCCCCGGGCTCTGCTGATGCAGCTGAGGAGGGAAAGGTTTTGCTGGGATCATGGTGCTGTTGAATACAGGGTTTTTCCCCTGTTACTTGCAAACATCGTCATCATGTATATAAACACAAAATGCCAAAATGCGAGTCAGCCCAATGGCAGTTTGGCTCCTGCACCAACAGCCTGATAAACGGTGAAACCAGAGCTTGCAGAGGGGATTTATTCCTGTTTCAGGGGGTTCAAAAAGTTGTTTCATGGCAGGTACAATATATTCCCAAGATATAAAAGAAAAAAAAAAATCAAAATTAAAAAAAAAATAATAAAATAGTTATTTTTCCCAATAGTTGCTCACTATTGATGAGGGAAAACCTTTCAGTCTCAAGCAGTGGCCAAACACACTTTTTTTAGAGAGGGAAGAAATGCAGACAGTATTTGCATGTGAGCCATAAATTCAAATTTTACCAAGGCAGGGTTTTTTAATATTTGCTGCATAAGTTTTGTGGCCCAGTGCTGTGATCCAGCATAACAAAAGGTCCTATTCACACAAGGGAGCAGATCTGAGACCACCTCATGAATCTTAATTCCTGAATTTCTCAGTTTTTTTTTTCAAACATAAAGGATCCCAATGAGCCGATTATGCAGACCTTGATATAATGTCTTTTTTTGATTAAAATGCTATCGTTTAAATTCTGCTTTGTAAACAGTCTGGCCTTCACTTCTATCTCCAGGTGTCAATAATCCCATGAGGGACAGCAAAACCAACCACAGATATAAAGCTGAGTGTGTGTGAAAAGTGTCTGCAGGATTGAGGCCAGCGATTGCAAAACAGTTTAAACTATAATCCTCCATTTTCATTAGTTTCTTGAAAAACTTCTGCTATGGGCTTGAAATCCTTCCTGTTTTGTTGAGCCAAAGGTGATTTTTCTCCCCAGCAGTCTGAGCACAGACCTTCCCGCTGGTTTTATGTTGTCAGGCTTCAAAAATCATATTTCCCACTAAGGACATTCTGCCCTTTTCACTGAGAGCTTGACATTGACATCCATCATGTAAACAAAGCTAATTAAAGACAGTTATTACTTGCTAGACATAAAAGTCTTCCAACCCCACAGTCCAGTAGATTTGGCTGCTTTTGCTAAGTGAAGCTTTGTGCTCTCCCTATTCTGCAGAAACACTGAATACATTTCCAGCCTAAGAGGTTTCTTCATCCCTGTCTCTCTTTATTTTCTGTAAGATTTGAGGCCTATAAAAGGGACTTGTTTCAGTCCATGGTGTTTGCCAAAGTCTTTGCCTTGAGATGCAGGAGGAGGATGGAGCTGCCCAGACCATCTCTGCTGTCGGCCTCAAACTGCTGCAGCCACACAGGCACTGGGAGCATCCTTCAATCCTGTGTGTTCATTTTTCAGCCTAATATATAATTTAAATAAGACCCCAGCCCAAAAATTCTATATCTACATCCTCTCCTAGGACACTGAGCAGTGTAGAGATGGTGGGCTCCAGGCAGTGGACACCTGAAGCTCTGTTCTGTTGGAGAAAGAAACATCCTCCCACTAAACTGCCACTGCTGTGTGTTGCCTTTTTGGGGAAAAATGCAAGCAGCGACTCTGTGTTGCTGAGGTTTCCATGGTTAGAGAAGCACAACTGCTCATGTAGGGACAGAGGTGGGCTGTGGGCTGGTTTGCACTCAGGCTGAGATTGGGAAGATGATAATCTCTCCAGAAGCCCTGCCCACATTTCTGGTTTAGAAGAAGGAGTTTGAGGCTGTGGCAAAGTGATGGACTTGGTGCCTCCTGGTCTGAGCAGTGAGACAGGGCAGGAGGAAAAATCAGGTAAAATTCCATACACCTCCACTCCAAGTGTCTCTAAAGCAGTCCATGGGACTTGACTGTGAACCAAATACAATGAAAAAAGGAATCAAGAGATTCAGATGAAGGGCAAATTCTTCATTAAGAGCTCAAATGGTCCAAACATGGCAATAGTTATTTGAGTTATAATAGAATGAGACAATGAATATGTGAAAGGGGAATAGAATATTTTCCCTGCTTTTCAACAGAGACATAGCTGAGAAAGAATGGAAACAAGGATGGCAAAAGAGGATAAATGAGCAGAGAGGAAAAAGCCACTTAGCACTATCAATTTGCTTCTCAGCTCCCACTTCCCTGGTGCATGGCTGGAGCCTTTTCTCTTTCTCTCGCCATATGTCTCTGCCTCCTGAAATCACTGCAGAAGTATGGAAAATCCTTCAGCTGAAGATGGTGTGATACCTTACTTTAATATTTTCAGCCAGGCTTCAGCTTTGTAGTTTATTCAGGAACAGGTTCTCCAGGTACCCAGGAATTTAACATTAATAACTGAGATGTTTTGACTGAACATGTAAGACACACAATGGGCTTGTTTGTTTGGTTTTTTGTTTGGACTGAGGAAATATTGAGAGGCAATTTCAACTCCTGGTTTTGTTTTCCAAGTGTTCTAGAAATTACTTTCCCAAATAAATGAACAAGATGTGGGACAGTTTTAGGCATGAGATCACACATAGCACGGTCTGTACCAAGTTCCCTTTGGTGAATAATTCATCTCTCTAAATCTACCAAAACAACCTCTGAGCAGTTCTCACAGGTACAAATCAATCAGAGCTTCTGGAAGCTGCAGTCTAGAGGAAACCTTTGGTGGGAAATTGCTGGAAAGCCTGTCATGGGGTTTTCCCTGCCTGTCCCTGAGAGTTTAACATGTGCCACAAAGCACGGGGTTGTGATTTTTGCTTACTGACAGTGACATGGTTCTGCCATTCACCAACTCAAGGAGATTCCTGGTCAATAAAAGGATTAGGGCCCCATTCCTAAATCTTGGTAATATTTAGCCAATAAATGCTGGATTGTAGCATTTCTCCCTCGGTGACCTTTCACTGTGTTCTATGTGCTGCCTTGTCCTGCTCTCCAATTCCCCCTTTTAAAAGAAACATTTGCTGTGTTTTCAGTTCTCAGTACCACTATTCCCCTTCCCTTGTGGAAGCAAGCACTCCATCTCACCTCTGTCAAAAGGTATTTATGTACTTGCCTCATCCACAACCAGCAGGACTCAGTCCTGAGTGACTTCACACTTTATTTCCACAATACACTGCAACTGTCAGTGCAGCACCACAAGTAAAAAATCCCTGGAGGATGTGATAACCACCTCTGCCAAAGTGTTATGTTTCAGTGTTCTCAGCAACGTTTCCTTTTCATTTTGTTTCCTCTGGAAACAGAACAAGGCACATGGCACAAACATACATTCATGCTCGGTTTGAAACATGAGTTTTTGGAAGGTGTTTGCTTTCACATTCAACCTGGTCTAGTGGAAGGTGTCTCTGCCACAGCAGGGGCTTGGAATGAGATGATCTTTAAAGTCCTTTCTGACCCAAACCATTCCATGATTGCTTGAATCTATACATTGCCCTATATGAATTTTTCTTGTTTCATCCAAGTCTCAATCCTACCACCACAACAATAAATTGAAGTAACAACTGGTTCCTGTGTTTGTAGACAGAAGTGAACTTTTTCCAAGCTTGAGAACACAAAAGTGTGTAGAAATTGTCTTAAATACAAACTAAAAATGGATGTAATAGTTTCTCAGTGCCTTCCACTTCATACTTGTCACATCATTGCTGAATTGCTGAGATACATCTGCTCCACTGAAGGAGTGAGGGTCATGTGTCTTTCTGGATGTCACCAGAGTTGCAGCCACATAGGTGAAGTCCTAAGTATATGTGAGAAGAATGTTCACTTCAACCCTTTCAGGGAAAAAAACCACACCAGAAATCCAATATTAGTGCATTTGGTTATTTTTTAAAAAATATTGGCACCCACAGGGCAGAATAACAAATTTGTGGCTAAAATAGAGCCAGGGAAAGAGCAAGTGAATCTATTCAGGGATGCAGGTTGGAACACTGCTTGGCTCCGACAGTGATGGCTCTCACCAGATCCATTCCCAGCTCAGCCGTGCTCGGGGTCACCTTTCCACCGCGGATCAACCAAGACGAGGGATCAAGTCACAAAAATGCCCCAGCAATTCTCTTCTTCCCAGAAATCTAAATTTAAAAAGGGCCTGGTGCACACATAGCAAATGTTTCACAAAGTTGTATGTTGTGTAATTAATTGTGGCACATGCAATTCCTTAGCTGGAGTTTTCTGTGGATTTGCAGCAGGTCTCCCTCCCAAATCTGCAGTGTATGCATGAGGTGACTGCATAATCCTGTAATTACACTTGTAAATCCTCACCCCCACCTCTTTTCAACTGAATAATCCAAAACACTAAATATAAAACATGTTTCAATTTGCAACTGCATCGTTGCAAAAATCTGAAAAAGGTAAAATTGTGTGTTGCAACCTTCACACCCATTGCAGAAATGACAATTTTTTTCAAATATCTACAGTTTCCTCCATAGTACTGCAGGAAAATCCTGTGCCAAGGATCACATCTCATTTGCCCATGGTGTGAAAGCGGTTACTGATTTTTGTCTGCCTGTTGGAATGGCTTTTCCTTGTGGAAAATAGAGCCAGTTCAGACACGTTTAATGGAAGCACCAGAAACAGTAGTTTGCTTGGACCAGGAAGAACATGACACCATCCTGCAGCATGCAGGAAAGGAAAACCAGGAGCACCCATGGGAAGGGGCCACCCCAGTGCTACTTGACAATAGGGGTCTTTTTGTAGGGTGCCAAAAACCACAGATGCTCATTTGCAAGAGAAAAAACTGCAGAGAAGGGCAGATTGAGCGAATTCACATTATCCTCATTCTTCTATTTCGTGCCCTGACTTGGAGGCACAGAAAATCCTCCCTCATTTGTATCACATAGCACTATTTTTATGTGCCTTTTCACTGCCTTCCACTACTCATGAAGTCCTGCTGATGACTTTAGTGTCACTTCCCACTATTTTGACTGCCACTCTTGGTCATTTCCCCAGGTTTTTGCTGTTTTGTGCTGTGCTATAAAGTGGAGTTACCTCATGGCAACAGGACTGACTCAGCTCTACCTTGGGAATACTGGTAGCAGATCTCCAGACAGTGTTCTAGAGCTTCTACCATGTTTTCTTGCCATTATTTCCTAAAAGCTTAAAACTTTGCTTCAGTTTGGTTATAGCCTGTCCCTTGTCTCCCCAGTTTGTATGTCCTCAGAAACTGCAAGCAGGTGGAGTAGGAGCTTGATGCTGGGCTAGGCTAGGTGACATCAATGACTGCCACTTGTAAAGTCCTTCTCTTGCTCTTTATTCCTTGGGACATCCACACAGTCCCACTCATGGCAACCCTCACACTCCTATTTTGAATCAGAAAGTGCCCTTTTACTTCCTTTATTTTATTTATTTATCTTAAGCAGCAGAGAACTGTACAAGTCCCTGCACTGAGTGTTTGTAGCTATAAAAGCATGTCAGATGTGGCTGTATTTGCACACAACCGTGGTACTTCCTCTCTTCAGAAATGGAGCAAGTTTCTATTTTGGGCTGTGCTGACTCAAGGGTGAGGTACCCAAGCTGATTCAGCAGTTTGGCAAGGCAGGAGAACTTCTGGTTATGAATGGAATAAGCAATAAATTTGTCTTCATCTTAAAGAAACGTATATTTGAGTGAAGCCACCTTCTGGTGGCAGACATTTTGTCAGATAAATGGATTATTCTGCATTGCTTTTGGCAAAAAGACCACTCCAATGAGACAACCACAAAGTTTGCAAGTAAAATCCTGGTCCCAGGGGAGTCAGAGATTCCCACTCATCTGGACTGGGATTTATCCTCTCTCTAGAGTCACATAAAAAGATCTTATACTGCTTACCTGCTTATTTAATCTGTGTATCTCATCTGGGATATGATATCCTCTCAGTGATATGAATAAACTGAATAGCAATTTAAGAAGGATGAAAATACAGAGCACAAAACCAACCTGGCCACTGCAGGGAAGCGAGAATGCACCACTCATTTAGTCAGCTTCAGTGGGTTCATATGGAACAGCTGTCACAGGTAACCCGTGTGCTCTTCAGCTATGGAAAAATGAAATAAACATTGTGATACTTCATAATTTTTGACACCATGGAGGAGTAACAGTCTTTCACAATATTTACCTGTTAGTCTGTGAAGAGGAGCCAGAAGATTTGTTGAGTTTTTGTTTTCCTAAATGAGTTCTTTCACCTGGAGGCTTCCAGGATTCATAACTAAGCCTGCAACGAATACTCCACATGTCAGCAAGGATGAAGATACAGAAGTTTGTCAGAAAGTGAGATATTTTTGTTCATTATGGCAAGACAGCATGAAATGGGGTATCTGAGCTGTCTCCCTTGAGTCCCCTTCTGTCCGTGGATGATCCAAACAGGTTTAACATATTTGCCTCCATCATTATGCTGTTTCCAGACAGGATCAATAATCCCCACAGTCCCCACCTATGGCATCCATGATGTTCTTTCAGGCTCTAAGTTCTTCCTTTGACAGCACACAACAAAAGCTGCAAACTTCCAAAGAGCATTCCTCCTCCCCAGCTACAGCAAGCCCGCTGGCATTAAGGCACGCCGTTGTTCCAGCCAGCCGTTCCCATGTCATATTCTCCTGCCTCGTGAAGGCGGTTTGTGAAGTCTAAAAAAGCATCATGTGGGCTGTCACATTTCAGAACCCCCCAAATAGCTTTGCATGGCTCCATCAGATAAGCAGTGAAGTACAATATTATGAACGTCAAACAACAGCTCATCATTACAGCTGACAAAGCTTGTTCCTCTGAGAGGGGAAGTAAATTCAGTTCCACAGACCAAATGGGTATATTTAGTGGCTTGAAGTTAAAAGAACTCTACAAGGAGGATTTGCATTTGCATAGCTATTGCTCTGTGAAATATATCCTCAAACTCAGTCTCTGAGAAAAGAAACCAGTCATGGAGTATCTTGGAAGGGTGGTCAGAGTTCTCCGCAGGGAACCAGCACAACCAAGCCCAGAATGAACACAGGACTCAAGATCCAGACTGCATGGAGGCTCCCAGCTCTACCAGGATGGCTCATTGTGGTTGCTAAGAAAGTGATCCAGAGGAAGCATCTTCCTTAAAGGATGTCACACACATGACCCTCTCAGGTGCTGCCTTAGAGGGACACGCTGGCTGTTACACCCATCCTGGATAAAAACAAATCAGAAAGTGGTGGTGGTGAGGAAATAGCAAATACAATCTCATACCACTTCTTGTTCTCTAAAACAAATCTCAGTCACACTTAAAATGAATCCAAGCATCACTGGCATTTGTGGTTTTCTGCTTCACGTATTTAATCTGCTACTTGAATTCAACAGAGAAAAATTTGCACAATAAAAGCAAAGTGAAATTAAAAATTCAGTGTTTCAGGAGACAGCAGGAGGTCTGTCCCAGCCAGAACAGAGCTAATGAAAGTGAACTGTTCCTTGACTGCACATGAAGGGTGTTCCCATGGAACTTGGTAACGACAGGGGAAGGTGGGGAATGGCTGAGCCAGTGAGTGTTGGGTGACTGCTCCACCCAAAAGATCAAGTGGAGGAGCAGGACAGGAGTCTACAGGTTAAAAGTCTAATGGGAGCTCCTTGGGGGATGCAGGATTCTGCACAACCTTGAAACCCCCATGTGAAGCTTACCAAAGGAGGGTCTGACAAGTCAGATGTCTCCTTCCATCCCATCTCCCCCCTTCAAACCCGTAAACAAAAGCTGGGAAAGAGGAACTATTTTATTAGAGGAGATCAAAAGCTGTCTCTGACCAGTAGCCAGACAAAATTTGGTATCATGTGGGTCATTCAGTGAAAACTTGTGATGTAGCCAGTATCTTTGATGTGATTCTGTTTATACTAAGAACATACAAAGTCCCACTTTATGGAGCACAGGGGAACAAGACAAAAAATCTATGCTGGAATTTAAGTACCTCTTAAATCTCTAAATTCAAATCAGCCAACATAAATCTTACAGGTTTACATAAAAAAAAAAATTAAAAACACAGGTAGTTTTACCTTAAATTCTCTGCCAATGAGGTAAAAAACTTTTCTCCTTTTCCCACCATGCATTTGAATCCCTGGAAGCTGTTGCACTACTTTAATCCTGCAGATTAAATAAATTCAGCATCCTGTATGAAGTAAAAATGTAACTTAAAATATATTTAGATGAATCAATAAAAAGGTTGGAAAGAAGTTTTAGCAAATTTATCAATTAATAGCCAAGCCCAGGAGGGCATCCTGCCTTTCTGCTCTGTCAGCTCAGGGATTTCTCTCTTCCCAACAGTGTTTATGTAAGAGCTGCATGGTAAGCAGCACTCACTATAAAATATTGATCAGCTAAGCCATTATGGAATTCAAGAGACAACCATGTCACAGCAAAACCAGAACAATTATTGCTATTGATTGGAATTTTTTAGAAATTATTTTGATATTTGAGCATGTCAGGAAACACAAATTTCTTCTAAATAATAATACTAGAAACATGAGTTACAACATGGTTACAAGACATCTTTACAAAGGAAATGGAAAATAGGGCAAGTTTCAATTTCAGTAACTGTGTGGCTGTGGATTTTCTATTACTATTTTTGAAAAACAGTATAGAGAGTTTTATGAAAAGAGTTTTATGGATGGAAAAGATTTCCAAGGCTGTCGAGTCCAACCTTTGACCCAATGGTGGGTCCAATTTGTGCCCACTAAACCATGTTGTGAAGCATCATGTCCACTCGTTTTTTGAGGACTTCCAGCGATGGTGGCTCCACCACTGCCTTGGGCACCTTGTGCTGGCATCTGATCACCTTTCCAGTGAAAAAAAATTTCCAATATCTGATCTGAATATGTCTTGGCACAACCTGAGGTTGTTTCTTCTCATCCTGTCCCTGTTCCCTGGGAGCAGAGCCCAACTCCCCCGGCTGCCCCCTCCTGTCAGGGAGTTGTGCAGAGCCAGAAGGGCCCCCTGAGCCTCCTTTTCTCCAGGCTGAGCCCCTTTCCCAGCTCCCTCAGCCTCTCCTTCTGCTCCAGCCCCTTCCCAGGACACCCTCCAGCCCCTCAATGTCTGTCTTGTCTTGAAGGGCCAAAAACTTACCCTCGGATTGGAGGTGCCCCAGCACAGGGGATGGTCACTGCCCTGGTCCCGCTGGCCACAATATCAGCATTATTACATTAGCGCCATTGGCTTTATTTTACGGGATGGTGAGGTCTTTAGAGGAGACGGGACTGCAGGAGGAAGGACAGCTGGAGTGAAGTGCTTCGCTGGAAAAGGCTCACCTGGAAAAAAGTAAATGAGATTCAGTGAAGGAGAAGCCACAGCAGGAAGAACTGGGGCTGGAGCTGATGGGCTGAGACGGATGAGGTGGGACAAATTTGGGAACATCACCTGTGAGCAAGGGTGAAGGATGCAGAGCTGGGGAGAGGAGAGGGAGCTGTAGCACCAGCAGAGAGAAGCCCTGTGAGGAAGGAAAGCCACGGTCCGTCTGCGACAAGAGATAATGAAACCGAGGGAGCGGTGCAGGCGAGATAGCGTCAGCCATAAACAAGCGGAGAACGAGGAGAAAAATAACGCAGCGAGTTTGCAGCGGGGCTCGGGCTGAATTGTTTGGTAAAGTGCGTATTGTCTGCGCATGGCAAATGTCAGCCGGTGGGGAGGGCGGTGGCGGGGGCAGCCCGGGAACCTCGGTGCCCGGCCCCGTGGACTGTCCCCGCTAAGGGGACGCCCGGCTCCCACCACCCCTCGCTGTCCCGTCCCTGCCTCACGGAGAGCGCCACCAACATCACGCCCACCATTCTCTGAGGGGACCGTCCCCACTCCCGCCCGCGCCCCTCGCACTGAGGCGGGAAGTGTGTGTTTGTGTGGAGG